GTCACATCAGTGGTGGGTTGCTCCCAGTTTGCATCGGTTCAATAGAACTGGTAGTAAAACTGGTGGGAGGCCCCGCCCACCGACCCCAACATCACCAAAACGCTTCTGTGCATGTGCAGAAGAGTGCGCGCACTCGCTTCGTTCGCGCGCGCAGTCCCACTTCGAACCTGTAGTAAAGGTAAGTAGAATCCACCCCTGGGTTACATGATTAGAATTCAGGTGCTTGGCAACTATCATGCATTTCATGATAGTTGCAGCACCCTGGAATGAGGTGATTGTCATTTGCAACCTTCCCAGTCAGCTATGGCAAAAAAATTCATAAAGTTGGGCATAATTTAACAGCTCCCTTGCTTAGCAATAAAAATTCTGATCCCAATTGTGGTTGTAAGTCAAAGACTTACCTGTATAAGACTGTTCTTTGCTGACTTGTGAAATCTGCTGTTGAATTGCAAGAGGGAAGGTGTCTTTCTTAAGGAACTAAGAGATAAATCAAGTCAACATTGAATCTTCAGTATGCAAAAAGAGACCCAGAAGGAATTCTCCCTAAACCTTCACAGGATTTATCTGATAGTTATTCAGTGTGTGCTTTTGTCTGGCAAGAGGGCCAGGTGCGACAGAATGAATTACTCAGAGTAGTCTTTTTCTGACTATTTGCCCATAGACAGGAAACTTGCCCAGATTAAAAAGCACACTCTGCATAACTATCAGACAAATCCTATGAAGGTTTAGGGAGGATCCCTTCTATCTATTAGCTCCTTATGAAAGAGCCCTTCCCTCTTGCAATTCAGTGCCGGATACTGCCATACGCTATAGATGTGAAAAAGTACACCCTATGTAAAAACAAAAATTAACATTCATATAAATCTTCTACCTTCATTCAAAGACTATATAAAAGTGATGTAGTTGAAAGAAACTGAAAAATTGATTTTGCAAGTATTTGACTGAAATATGTCATTCCTTTCTGTTGAAAAAGTACACCTTTAGCTCTAATAGTCGATATTATCCCTGTTGGCAGAAACATCTTCAAGTAGACAGCCAACACAGTTCTAGGCTGCATAATCAGAGGGATAGAATCAAGATCACATGAAATGTTAATACCACTTTATAATGCAAGGCCACACTTGGAATACTGCATCCAGTTTTGGTCGCCATGATGTAAAAAAGATGTTGAGACTCTAGAAAGAGTGCAGAGAAGAGCAACAAAGATTAGAGGACTGGAGGCTAAAATATATAAAGAACGTTGCTGGAACTGGATATGTCTAGTCTTATGAAAAGAAGGACTAAGGGTGACATGATAGCAGTGTTCCAATATCTCAGGGGCTGCCACAAAGAAGAGGGAGTCAAGTTATTCTCCAAAGCATCTGAGGGTAAGGTGGAAACTAATCAAGGAGAGAAGCAACATAGAACTAAGGAGAAATTTCCTGACAGAACAATTAATCAGTGGAACAACTTGCCTCCAGAAGTTGTGAATGCTCCAACACTGGAAGTTTTTAAAAAGATGTTGGATAACCATTTGTCTGAAGTGGTGTAAGCAGGAGGTTGGACTAGAAGACCTCCAAGGTCCCTTCCAACTCTGTTATTCTATATGCTAGACATTCCTTAGAACTGTCTCCCAAACTCATATTGACTGGAATTTTTTTCCATCATCCATGCAGATTTTTTTTTTCAGATGTTAAATGTTTCAAAGGTTCTCATCTGCACAGCCAGTTTCAAATAGCCCCACAGCATTTTGATGAAATTTAGATCTTGATGGAATTTAGATCTGGGTTTTGATTCAGCTATTCTAGAATCTTCCCCCCACTCCCCCAGCTATTCCTTGGTGAATTTACTGGAATGCTTAGGGTTATGGTCATGTTGCAAAGTTCACGTTCAGTGAAATGAATATGGTGAAATGTTGTTTGGATTTTGCCAAACCTGTCTTCTAGTTCTGGGGCCCAGTAACTAACTTTGCCTTGTCTAGCCAATGCTCATTTTTCCAGAAGTCCTGACAGTTGCCTCAGCTTCTGCTCACCTAGCAGTTGTCCTATGCGAGTAGATAAAGGGGTACCACTTCAGTGGGGAGACAAGCTGATGTTCCATGCAGGCAGGCAGATTGGCAGTTAGATTCCTGCTGGTTCTGAACCTTCCCAGTTGTGACACCCATTTGTGAGGGAGAGGGCCTTGGATGACAGTGCAGGAAGAGCCACCCATCTTTCTTTCTGATGCAAAATTAGCTTGCCCTCCTGTGGCGCACCTTGGAAAGCACATGAACGTGTCTCACAACAGAACTAGTAAACTGGCAGCCAAACTACTACTTCTGTATTAGCATTGTAGTCTCCTGGCTAATACCACCACATGCTAATGAAGGTCACATATCTCTGGTGAAGTACGTTGAAAACACCAATACTTTTAATGGAGTGTACTTACTTATTCAGATGACTGCATATCTCTTCCATTTATAGGACTCAACTGAAAACGTCTTGAACTAAGCATATTATTTAAGTTTGGCTCATGCTCTGAAAAGATACAGATGCCTGAAGATTCTTTTTAGATAACTGATTAAGAAGTAATCTCATTTCTCAATAAAAAAATTGTGAGCTTCAAATGAACATTTATGCTTCTAGCATATTGAAGTCATTATCATTATCTCTGTTGCTGGTCTGCTGTTTCCTGTGCTGTTCTCGGTTATTTATTTATTTAAATTTATTACAGATGCTTACTCTGGGTGGCTTACAAAATTCAAAAACAGTAAAAAAAAATAGTTAAAATCATAAAACACAGCGCAGACTGAAAGTCAAAACAGTAACAGAAAACCACAAATGGGGCCTGACAAATATCTGAACCATAAGACTGGGACTGAGGCCAGGCCTTGAAGACATTTGCATACCCTAGAGCAGGGGTCTCCAACCTTGACTTTATGACTTGTGGAGTTCAACTCCCAGAATTCCTCAGCCAGCATGTGTTAGCTGAGGAATTCTGGGAGTTGAAGTCCACAAGTCATAAAGTTGCCAAGGTTGGAGACCCCTGTTCTAGAGGATGTTGTCCAAATCTCTTGGGGAGAGGGGAGACCCTGTTTCAAGGGTAGAGGCCATGGCAGAGAATACACACTTCCTCAATCTCTTAAAATGACAGTAATGACACTGGTAGTCCTCGACTTACAATCATTAATTTAATGACCTTTATAATGACACTGAAAAAAAAGTGACTTATAACTGTTTTTCCCCCTTATGACCATTGCAGCATCTCCATAGTCATATGATCAAAACCAGGCAACTAGCATGTATTCGTAATAGTGTTCTGGGGTCATGTGATCACCTTTTGCAACATGACAATGTCACTGGTGAAGCAAGATTCAATTAACCACTGTTAAGAATCATTTAATTGCAGTGATTCATTTAACTGTGGCAAGAAAGATCATAAAATGGAACAAAACAGGAATGTACCAGACAGGCAGAAACAACTGGAGACATACCCAAGTCCTGTGTCATGGAGGGCTTGATAGGTGATGACAGTAACTTGAATTGCATCCAAAAGTTGATTGGCAACCAATGCAGTCTGACAAGCAGCAGTTACTGCTACTCATTACTGTGTACAGCATTTTGAACCAATTGTAGGTTCCGGATGATCTTCAAAGGTAGTCCCACGTATAGCATGCCGCACTGATTCAATCATGAAGTGACCAGGGCACTGGGTATCATTAGCATACTGATACTAGATCCTGAACTGACAAATGACATTACTTAATGGTTTCATGTAAAAAAAAGGGGGGGGGTTGGAATGTTGAGCCTGGAGGCATCCCAAAATAAGAGTCCAGGAGCACAATCTCTCCCCATCAATGGAGACTGAGGTTGCAATATAGTTTCTCCCACTCCTATCTTCCATAACCAATCCAGATGGATACTGTGATTGATGATATTGAAAACCCAAGAGGACATGTTGCACAAGAATGGATGCACAACCTCCATCTCTAATAACCGCCAAAGGTAATCAACAAGTGTGACCTGTGTTGTCCTGATACTGTACCCTGGTCTGAAATCCAACTGAAACAGGTCCCGATAAACAATCTATTCCAAAATCCTATGTAGCTGCTGTCTGACCACCTTTTCCACAACCTTCTGGCTGGATAATAAATGACTAGAATGAGGTGTGTATGGAGAAATGAAGGGGCATGTGGAATGGTGTTAATTAAGGAATGTGGAATCCAACAGAGAAAACCTTGTAAAGTTGTTCTCCTGCACTTAGCAACAGAGCAAAAAACCCAAATAGCTTATATTGAGAACATTCTAAGCAGCATGGAGGGAATAAACTTAGCCTTAGATTCATCTTTTTAAATCAAGTCTGTGTGCAAGCAGTAAACTATTCTGTTTCACAGGAAATGTTATAAACTAGGTTTCCAAAACTTCCAGAAAATTGCTGGTTGGAACTAGTGACTATGATGCCTGGGCTGGTAGCTAAAATTGAATAGCTAAGACCAATGATCGCTAATTGGACAACTACAAAGATACAACATTCTCATACACAACACAGAAATTGGTTGTATTGCCATCACAGAGCATGATGAAATCTTTCTGTAATTTATAGGCTTGACATCAGCAACAGATGGTAAATTTCAACCCTGGATACCTGAACAAATGTTTTTTACTAAATTGGACTAAGTTTAGTACATTTTGATACTGATTGGTTTAATGATAGTTATCTATATTAGTTATTGTATTCTATGATTATATAATATTGCCAATTCATTTAACTATAATTTATAGTGATATCTTAGCCATAAAAGAGTCTGACCTGTAAGCATACTTATGGCAGTAGCATTTCTAGCTAGTTTTGAAATCCAAGCAAAAAAATCTAGTACCAAGCTTTGTGGAAAGATATCTGCATATAGTGGAATACAGCAGCATTCATCTTTGACCACAAGTACATGGCATTCATACTCGGGGGAGGTACTAGAAATTAAAACTCATGAAAGTTGCCCAATCCTTAACTGAAAATAACTCTTTGCTGAATAAATCTACAACTGGTAACAAGCAACAAACAGCAGGCAAATTTATATTACAAAAAGCAGAAGATATTTTCTGTGATATATGGAAAATATATACATATATATGAACACGCACACTGTCATCATTTGGTCCTCAATGAAATATTTATCATGAGCTATTTTACACTTTCTTACTCCTGTAAGAAAGTGAATACACACCATAAATATAATTAAGGCAATTAAAACGCTGGCTTTTCTTTGCTGGCTTATTGCAGTCCCGTAAAGTACCGTAATCACATTACTGTAGAAAAGAATCTAATACATGAAACATTGAAAATTACTGTATATTGCAGGCAAAAATACAGAAGTTGGGCTTGTATAAACCCAAGCTACAGTAAAATTTATTTTTTGGCTTTGTATTATATTAACCAAGCCAATTATGGCTTATTCAAATTGTGATTAAGCAAATCATGGCTTAATGTACTATGCGAGCCCAAGCAAAGACTTTTTCCTCCACTGAATCAGTCTACAATTATTGCTACTTGCAGACGACATGCAATTCAAGCCAAGAAACAAATAGGTTATTAGTGTGGATTAGGTATTCCAAAAACAAATCCATTTTTAGAAAATTTTCCAATTATCTTTTTATTTATTTATAATTTAATTTCTATACCGCCCTCCTCCCGAAGGACCCGAGGCGGTGTACAGCCAATTTAGCACACCTGCTTCAATACAATTCTTCCTTTAAATCAAATGTCGTAAGAAATTGTAATTTAATAATGCAAGGAGGTATTTTTAATAATAGTTTTTGCTGGAACCAAATTTTGCCTAGCTCTTCCAATGTCGACAATATGATTTTACTCCAGTGGTTCTCAACCATTTTTTTTCACCATAGACCGCCTTTAAATACCTTTTGTAGCCACAGACCCCCAAGGCTTAACTCAAGATTTAAATTGTAACATTTCTTCAAGCCTTTGTGGACGCCCCCCCACTCCATGACATTGTGACCCTCCAGTGGTCCATGGACCACAGGTTGAGAACCACTGTCTTACTCTATTCTGCAACAGAGTTCACCCAGAGAAACTAAGAAATTAGTACCATTCAGAGGCTAAGAAATTGCTAAACAATATTCAACAAAATTCTGAACAGTTCTTGCATTCCCACGTCAGAGATGATATCTCAAATGAACTTAAAGGTCCTTGTATTGATTTCAGTGAACTTTAATGGCTCCTAATTTCATCTGGAATTCAGCTCATAGCACTCATCTTTTTAAATGCCAAGCCCTACTTTTTGCCCAAACAAGCTTAATTCAGACACTGAATCTCTGTGTTTGGGGGGTGGGGGTGGGGGGGGGAAATAGCTGTACTCTCCATCTTACCATGTTATTTGTACCTTATCTTCAGGGGATGCAAAAGTTAATTAGCACAGGTGGTTCACCTTGCAGTTTATACATTGGCAATAACAGCCACAGTGATCTAGCAGGAAGACCAGGTGTTAGTCCATCTTTAGGCACAACAACCATCTGGGTGACATTAGACAAGACATGATCTCTCGGGCCAAGTCACATGATTCATGAGAAAGGTGGATTATGTTTACTGCCTAGAGCTCTGTCAGTGTTATAATCTGTTATAATACGAATAAATAAATTGCAATAATCCAAAGCGGTTTCTTCCGCTCCAAATACTTTCATAAGATAGAGAAATGGCTAAAAATTAACCCGCATCCCATCTAGTCAATTGTTTAATTTCTTTTCTGATTTTATATTATACAGAGAAAATATCTGTCTCTTCCCACTATATCATCACAAAGTGATTTCTTTTTTAAATCTTCAAACTTTAGATAAGGAACTGAAGAGAAAATGTGGTGATGTTATTGATGCATTGGGACAGATAAGATCATTTTCTAACTCTCTCTCAAAGCACATGAAAGAAAGCAGAAGGAAAAGAAGTACTAATGCAGTTCATAATTAACTCAGCATTAGATGGCAGGCCTTTGGGGCTCAAGAACTAATCCCCAGGAACAGATGGTTTCCGGGTTAGGTTTTAATTAAGGAAAATGCAGACACACACCGTTAAATTTATGTGCAATCCAATAATCTGGCATTTAGGAATTCATTCATACTGAACTGTTTGTTAATATGCAATACCATCCCTTTATTTCAGCCTTTTCTCTTGCCTCACAAAGGCAAAATTGGTTTGGGACTGGAGAAATCACTTAATATGCCGAGCAGGTCCAATACAGATTCTTGTCGTTGTCAGAGTTCTGAATATGGAGCTTTTCATGCTGCCCTCCAAATTCTCATTTATCCTTGGGGTATATTCTCCAGCATTGGATTGCATTTGTACCCCAATTAGTTCCTGAACCTTTTTTTTTTTTAATTCTTTGAGGAAGAATTTCACTGCCGACTTATTAGTGTCTCAGAGTATATGAAACTTCTCTTCGTACAGCAAAGCTTTTCAGTCCTGAGAAGAATACTGTTCGGATGAAGTTTGCCGTGAAACTATCAGAGGACATCCGTCACACATTGTAATCGGGAGCTTTTCCTTGTGGCTGCCTTAGCCGGATTTGCAACGTTAAAAAAGCACCCACAGTCACATGAAAAAAGATCTGCCAGAGATTGCGCAATTCATAAAGGTACATATTACACAAGCAGATTAAGCCAAATGTTAGGAAAGATTTAATGTTCCGCCAGCTCGTGCAATATGCAAATAGATAGCACTGCAAAGAAAAAATAATGATCATAGTTAAATGATAGCTTGTAGGACTTTATTCGATTCTGTAGCACAAAGAAATCAAAGGGGAAAAGTCCTCTACTCAACATAAAGGAAAAAAAAAAAGAGTTTCAATACTACTGTTATTCTTTTTGGGTGAATCCTGTTTGCTTTTCTATGACTTTGAAGACTTTTCAGAAATTCTCACATCAGAAAACTAAAATTTGTCACTCAAGTCTGCCTTGTGAAGCCATATAGAGATGATAATAGTGCTCTTGGTTGACTATTAGAATCTGGATGTTCTGGGCAACTAGAGAGTTTAGGTAAAATTTGTTTTATACTGACTGGAATGTTTTAAGTAATTTCTTAAATTGCAATTCTATCAAATATCATGCATAATACAAAAGAGGGTGAGTTCTGAAGATAAAGAAGATATCTCTTTTATCTCTGAATGCTTTTCCGGCACTCAAAGAGATTTACTTTGCAACAGAAAATAATGTCTCACACCTTGCATCGTTTATATTAACCATATAAAAGCAACACAATTTTACAGTGATAGTACAAACCCACCAAAATAACTTTTGCAATACTTTCTCCCCCCCCCCTTTCCCCCCCCCCCCAAGAATATATTCAATGTGGTTCAGTTTTTAGTAGTCAGGCATCTGGGCAGAATGACCAAATCCAGTGGAGTTCTGGGATACTTATAACCTAAAGCCTGTTTTGGGCTGTGACCAGTGACAAAACTATTAACATCTAAAAATACATAAGTACATACCTGATATAAACAAGCTGCTGTGCCAAGGAAAAAGGCGATAACAAAACTGAAGTCATCTTCTTCATTCTGAAAAAATGGGCACAATAAGCATTCTCAAATCAACATATTTTATGGTGTGCAAAGAAGACAGACTACTATCTTAAATACTGGAATTCTGGAACTTCTTTTCCAGAATTCAATCAAGTTTTTCCTATATTGAGCTTGGCAATTTGATGTCTTCTATGATCAATTGTATCAATATCCTTGTACATCATCATCATCATCATCAACAACAGCAGCAGTTTCCTTCCCTATTCAGGAACCACAAGCATGAATTGGATGTCATCCATCTTCATTTTAACAGACACATGAGGAGCCTTATACTGTAATTAGAAACTGAAATTAAAATGGTCCTGATATCTGCCCAGCTGATCACATAATCAGGTTAGACAAATAACTAGGACTGACCTGTGTTCTCTTTCCATTTACTGACTGCTCCCTGGGATTTACTGATGGGTCAATAAAAATGGTAGCCCCTTCTTTATAAATATTCTCTAGCAGCAGCCAGATCTGTATTAAGCTTTTGGGTGAGAAGGGTCAATTGATTTCCCATCCATGGCTACTCTCCCTGAAGCCCTGTGTAGACTGTTCCATAAACAGCCTGGGAGAAAAGTAAAGTTTCCATGACAGATTATGTAAAGTCTTGACCGGGTTGACATGGAAAATTTAGCAGTTTACCTGATGTTTACCTTTTAATCTTAGAACTGGACACAAGCCCTGCTACCACTTTAAGTAATTTCTGCATATTGCCTTTAAACAAGCTGATCAGCTGTTTTCATATTTAGTTTGGCCTTAAACCAGAGCAGTTTGGTTCAATGAGAATCATGTAAAATAGAACATAGCCAGCAGATGGTGCTATGCTCTCACAAAGTAAAATTATAAACTAATAAGCCATGGAACCCAGAGAATAAATTCAATTATTTTGGCAAGAGAGCTAAGAATAACACAGCACTTTTCTGTCAATTGGAATACCTAAAGATCCTGGGCAGGGAATTTGGACCCAGAAGATCCGAATTCCATTTGTTTTGCAATGGACTTGACCGTTTAACCCAGAACAAAATTCCTGCCTTCCCACCATGTGTGTTTTATATGACCACACAGTACAAATGGATTATATATAATTGTTTACAGTTGGCCTGCTTCCCAGAAAAAGGAGTTCTTCCATCTGAGAGGGCGAGCGAGAAAAGAGGAATATGTGAAGGTTTTCAGGACAAGTTTCAGGGGAGGGAGAAAAATGCAGAGGAAGACTGGAATGGTGCCCAAAGCGTGTACCGTTCATTAATGATAATACAAAAGGCAGAAATTTAACTCAATTGATAAATACAGTTTTGAAATCAAACTTTTTAACTTTTTAATATACATGATAGAATGGGACAAGGAAATACTAAGGCAATCAAGGTATCGTCTTTGTTAATAAGTGGACAATATATACACATTCTCATCTTCAAAGGTACAGGGAGTTTTTGTAGCATGTCTGCATTCTAACAGGGAGAGGGAGAGACAGAGAGAGGTAGAACAAGAGAGAATGAATGAGAATGAGGGAGTGTGTGTGTGTGTGTGTGAGAGAGAGAGAGAGAGAGAGAGACAGACAGACAGACAGAGAGATGGAGAGAGAGAGATGGAGAGAGGGGGGAGAGAAAGAAGGAGAGAGAGACGGAGAGAGAGATAGAGAGACAGAAAGAGAGAGAGAGGGAGAGAGAGAATGCAAATGTGATGTTTCTCTTAGTGCAAAACTTTGAACCCAGTCTAGTCCCTACTCTCACCATGGATATAGTGATTCCATCCCTTCATAAGGAATTGTCTGAAATATCACATCTATCTGGATTAATACATTCTGAATTCCCTTATAATCAGCAGCAAATAGTAGCATGCACTAGGATAAAACTTAAAACATATCAGTGTCAACTTATTTTGTGTGAGAGACATAGACAAGCAACCCAGGTTCCCACTTCCCTTGACTATTTAACAAGGAATGCAGCTCTTAGACATTTAACATAGTCCATTCCAGATTTCTCTATGGCCTCTATTTCCTTTTAAGAAGGCTGGGTGAAGAGGGAGGGAGGGAAGGAGAGAGGGGAGGGCGGGGTGAGAGAGAAAAAGAAAGAGAATTATGTCTGTAACATGTCTGCATCAAAAATCCCTTTTGCTTTTTCATGAAACTAGGAAACTGAGATGGCAAACACTTCAGCTCAGGAATGCAAACTCAGCCTGATAGGGAAAGGCAATGTTCTTATCCAATTACTATTCCAGAGTTATTTTACTCTGCTAAATACTGCTAAATTATTTGAAAAAATAAAGTTACCCTCTTAATCTTCAAAATATTTTTTCCTGTTTCAAAGTTATGGATGTAACAACGGTACCTGTAGAAGACTCTCTATAGCATGAAAACCACGAATTAAATTCAAAGCAGCACATAAAAGGCTAAGAAGAAAGGAAACAATTCCCGGTAGTGTCACAGGTTCCAGTCGTTGGTGAGGGGCTAGTAGCAGAGAGAAGAAAACACTATAAATATTTTAAAAGCTTTCATTAATGTTTGAGCAAAACCTGCTAATGCTATTTTTCTCTGTTTTTGCCTTGTTCTAGACAAAATACTTTAAATGAGGAAACACAGTTTAATTGAGGCATGAGTGGTCAATTTGCAACTTTTATATTTACTTGGAAATGCACATTAGAAATTGCTGAATAATTGTGCAGATTAAAATGCAGCCTCCCCCTAATAGAAAAATGTATTATTATTTTTTTGCTTGAGTAGAAACTTCATTTTTACAAGATTTAATAACATACAGGTAGTCCTTGATTTATGACCACAACCAAACTCACCATTTCTGTTACTAAATGAGACCATTGTTAAGTGAATTTTGCCTCATTTTACAATCTGTGTTAGTGGTTCACTTAACAAGTTAGTAACATGGTTGTTAAGTGAATCTGGTTTCCCCATTGACTTTGTCAGGTTGCAAAAGGTGATAACATGACCCCGGAACACTGCAACTGTCATAAGTACATGCCAATTGCATGCATTCAAATTTTGATCGTATGACCCTGGAGATGCTACAAGTCCTGTGATAAATGGTCATAAGTCACGGTTTTCAGTGCCATTGTTACTTCAAATGGCCACTAAATGAATGGTTATAAATCAAGGACTACTTGTATCAAACTAATGTACTTAAGCTATGCAGTATAAGACTTAAATTCACAAAATAAAAACACAGACATAAAGTTACTCTAACAATTAGCCAACGAATAAGTAAAATAAGGCTTTTAAAATTGTACTTTTTCACATTTCAATTTTTTTCTTTGCTAAAGCATGTTACAGGTCTAAAGAGTGATTTAAAGCCCATCCTAAATACACTTATTCAGAAGGCATCAAGATACCAGTGAGAGTTGCTTCTGAAAGAGGGTACAGAAGATTACAAATGCCCCATATGCATATATTTTTCATTATAAGATATGGAATACTACCAAAAATATTCCAGACTCATTTCCTATTTTTTTCAAATAAGCTTACTATGCACATCTAGTCAATTATCCCTTGTCAACTATATGGATATCTAATGGCAGACCATGCTCATCCTAAAGAGGTTCTACAAGATGGGTTTGGTTTTAGGCCTCTGTTAAACAGAACATTGTGAAATGAATCAGAGGAAAGCTAAAAGATGTATGACAATTTTTGAAATGTATATTTCAATAGAAAAGAATATTTGTAGCTCTGAACTCGGGGATCCTTGAGTGTCTCTGAGCTTGATGGTTTTCTTGCAGACATTTCATTAGCAATAAAACCACTGAAGATGTTACCTACTTTGGTAATGAAACATCTGCAAGAAAACCACCAAGCTCAGAAGCCCCAAGGACCCCACGCTCTAGTAGCCATTTTATTTTCCTGGGATACAAAAGAGTTCCAAATTTGCCATTCTCTCCATGATTGCAAGGGTGACAAAGAGGCAAAAAATAAAGAGCAAACAGAATATAGACTGTAAGCACCTTTGCTGATATTCATCTCTTCCACGAAATGCCAACTATACGCACAAATAACTGCCAATTCATACTGAATGTGTGTACAAGTGTTATTATGAGATTCTACAAGTGACAGAAACTAAATGGGGGGGGAGAAACAGGGGGCAAACCCCCCTGTAGTCTAGGCAACATAGAGAGAGGGACAATAAGGTGAATGAACCATATGTAAATCATTCTGTCTAAATCAGCGAAGTGTAAAGGCGCCAACAATGAAGTTAATGAGCTGGAACATTGATAGAAAGAGGGGTGCCATTCTACCTTGTGGGCAGAAAAGGCTCTCCAAAGTAGTTCATAAAGTCAGAAAATGCTCAGAAATGACAAAGGGCATTTCTCTAGGGAAGAGGACTGCTTCTGTCTGACCAGTGCTCTTTCCAAACTTTATAAGGCAAGAGCCTTTTTGCTTTGCCAAGAACTAAGTCGTGGACAGCTTAACATGTAATTGGGGAGAAGCTGCTGGGATAGAGGAATAGTTTTAAATACAGCAACTCATTCAAACATATATCTAAACTCAACTTGTCAAAACCACCATAATAAAATAGGCTTTAAAATTGTTCTCTATCTCCATTACAACACTGAGTTCTTATAGGTGACCATTATAGGCTGATCAAGTTCTATCATTGTTTTTAATCTAGAATTTTATGATGTCATTGAAACAATTGGCTAGGGATCGGGCATTCATTCTCATTCAATCTAATCTTCTGATTTTAGGGAGAATAATGATTTATCAGATCTATGGTTTCCTGGGAGACAGCACTGTTATCTTTTTCTGGGTCAAAGTCCCTAATTCCCCCTCTCTCCCACACACACACATATCATTCATAATGTAATGAAACTATCCTTGTGAACAGTAATTTTTCATTGGGACACCAAGGAAAAAAAAGTTCTTCACACTGCACTGATAAACTAGCTCAGGATCCCTTCCCCCATCTGAGCTTGAGTAAGTCATTCAAAATCCAATATTACCAAAGTCCTCATGTTGCAGTTGGCCATGAAATTTACAAAAGGAATGCAGTAAACCAAACAGATCAATCTCTACCTTTATCCCAAAATAAGTAAATTTGAATAAGTAAACTTAAATCCATCATCTCACCTGGAGACATTTTTCTTGTATCTTTGTTTTCTTGTAGAGATCCATATGGATATCCATTGGCTGAACAGAGTTCTGACATGGAAATCTGGTAAGGTGGTCTCAGTCTAATTTCTGTTTGCATGTCAGCAAGATTTATCCTTGTTGACAGAGATCGTGGATTGTTGTATCTTTGTTTGGTCCTCTGAATAAAATTATCTGTATAAAATTAAAACAACCCCCTTTAGTTTTTTGATGAAAACATCACTGGGGACCTCATAGCTTTATGGGCAACATACATCTCAGATGCACACATTTAAATTCATTATTTAAAATTCTTACATCCACTATGGGAAATTTTAATGCTGCTGCTGCTTTCTACCTAGTATATCATGGGCTAATTAATTTTGCAGCACCAGAAGATTAAATGCTACAATTTTAATTATGAATAAACTAATGTTGCATGCATTGGCAAGCCTGAAAGTGCAACTAATATAATTAATTAATTACATTTGATTTAGTTTTTCTTGTAATTCAGAAAACTTTCTTAGGAAAAATAAGCATTTGTTCTGAGCTCCAGGCAGTTTTCTGAATTATAACATTATATTCATAATATTTCGAATGCTATCACCTATAGCCTGAAATATTTTGCTATAGAATATAAGCACAGCATGACAACCACAAATTAATAGTTAGCAAAATATACATTACAGTGAGTGCAAGGATGGTGAAATGATGGTTTTTTTATTACTACTTATTCTCAGCCTATTTATAATTTCATGCTAAGTATCACTGTGCTTATCAAACCTGATGCGCCATTATACACATGTTGACTTAAAAGTATAATCCATTTAATTCTTAAGAGTTTACCCCAGTGTAATCTCACTTAGTTTTGCACCCTTTATTGTCAATAAAATGTTTTTTTTTAATGAGAATATTATTATAAAGCTGAGAGGTGAAATGCACTATTTCACTATTACTGGCAATGTGGTTCAAGTACTTATTCCCAGATGACTAGATTACTGCAATGTACTTTGCATGGAGCAGCATCTGAAGACTACCCAGGAGCTGCATAGCATTATTTATCTACTGGCATCTTTTGGTATGCAAACTGGAGGTTGAAATCTGAGTTCAGAGATCTTTTGAACTCCTGTCTGCCTTCAATGTCTTTACAGAAGTTCTTGTAATACTTCTTGTATCTTTCTAACAGCTCTTTGAAAGTTTTGATTAAGTTCTTTTCTGAGATCTTTGTCTTTCTTGGTTTTGGTTCCTCTTCTTTTGATAATTTTCACTTCTTTAGCTAGTGACTGGGATGAATTTTAGGCCTTGGGGGAACCTGCTGGGGATATTATATCCTTGGCACATATTCCAGATGTTCTTTGCTCATCCACCCCAGGAGCATACATCCTCTGCCAGAATGAAGCAGCACAACAGGATTTGAGGGGGCAACTGATACACTTCCCTCCAAAAATATGTTAACTGCTTCCTATTAACGGTGGTTAACGAAGAAGGGCTGAGGCAATGTTTTTCTGCTGCAGTCTTTATTTTACGGAAACAGCTTCCCCACTGAGTTCAGATCAGCACCCATTTTAATAGCCTTCTAGAAGCTATTAAAATCAGAGATTTTCCAGACAGTATTTGGGGAATGGGGAATTCATGCCATCTGTATTACTGCAATGCATTATTACTATATTGTTGCCTTGGTTTCAATATTGTTTTAATGTTGTGAACCACCAGGAATCTATGCAGATTACTATAGGGTATGACAGAAATAAATAAATAAATTTTACTGCTTCCCCACGGAAACAGTAGGCATTAAGTGAGATGGTCATAAAATAAGCAGAACACAGGGCCATAAGAGACATCAAGCTGTGTGAAATATAGTCATCCCATGTCTTACTGTACATTCCTCTGGTTTCTGAAAACTGTGGACTGTTTATAAATTATGCCAATTTTTAAGGCTTTGTAATATGAACAAGTACCAGTACTCCAGACATTTGTCCAACGTTAAAGTTTATTTCAATTCTGAGTAGTAAGCACTATTCTGGTTTCCAAGTGTATATATAATCTTATAATATGGTATTTCTGATACTACAAATTCAGTGAAAGTTAAGCCTTGGATCACTGAAAAATAAAAAATATGGCTTTGGTCTCTACTTTTGTTAGATTAGGGTTTAGTTTTTTAAAAAAGTAGGGCTGCTTTTGGGTTATTCCATATAAATGGCAGATTCCATTAATAGAATTTTTAGGACTACAAAGCTTCTATAAAATCATGGTTTGTAGATTAACAAACACAAATAATGAAATTAAATGCATTTCCAATATAATTTAATTATGCACTAAAGATATTAAAATTGACCTCAACCACTCACAAGTTTTTACCTATTTCACAAGCTTTCTGTTTTGAAGGTAACATCATAGGCGACTCCCACAAATATTGCCTTGGGAACCTATACAAGGCAGGACATTTATAAAACCATGCACTCAATCAACAATAAACCACTGGCATCTTAAATTGTTATTTCAAAAAAAAACCCAGGCCACAGATGATGATGACAGAGTGCAAGAAAGAAAGAGCATGGACATGTCTATGGAAAACATTTAACAAAAGTGATTTAAGCATTAGGCAGAAAGTAACCCTTAATGAAACTGACAGGTCAATATATACCAAATATTAGTAATGCAATTCATCACACATTCATGGTAAGTTGCAAGAGGCAGCAAAAATCTAAACCTCCTAGATATTCTAAAGCACCTTTTCCTCCTTGTTCATAAGTGTAGAAGATCCGGATTCCATCCCTGCAGGAGAATTACTCCTGAATAAAACAGATCCGTTGGGCTGCTCCAAATCCCTATGAAATATTATTGCCAGGCATTTGGAAGTAATTTTTAGATCACTGTACGTTGTTTGTGAATCAAACAATGATTGAATGAATATTTTAATGCCAAGTTGTGTTCTTTTATGACATAAATAAAAAGAATGCAAAATACTACATTTTGTAAACCATGCTGAAGTAAATATATTACACATGTTTAGAAGCCCAAACTCAAGCCACTTCTTGAAGAAAGTGATGAACCCCTTACCAAATTCAATGAAACAGTATGGTCTGACTGCTGTATTTGTCTTCATCATGTTGTATGTGGTAATGAACTCCTTTTGAAGCTCATCCAGGAAGCAGAAGGCAAGGACGTTGGGGTAATTTTCAGTGCACAGCATCATGTAACTCACTCCCAGAGAACTAATAAAGCTGTGTTTTGGTGGGGGAGGAAAAATGTGTCTTTAACATCTCAAAATTAAAATAATGTATTCACAGATTAGCTTAGGTAGGCTTTACACATAACTACAACAAGAGAAATAATGATGAGTCTAATGGAAGTATTACTATTCATGAGAAAATAAATTAAGGGCATACAAAACTCACTGAATCAGAAACAGAATTTGATCTTGCTGAACCTCCTCTTGGATCATGCTGTTCTGGGAGTGATTCCCAAAGGTAAATCTTTTGAACCAGTTGCAGTTTAAAGTAAGTTGGTCATGTTTTGGATCCAGACTATTTCTGATTCAGAGAATGTACCCCCAGAAGCCACTGAACTCTCCCCAGCATGGTTCCATAATTCCATAAGGGGATTATAATATTCTACATCTCTAACTATAATGCTATTTTCACAGAACAATGAAGTTTTACTTGGATTTAATGTTTTGCTGTTACCTATCAGTAGTTAATATGTTCTTTAAAAAGAGGGCAAATGTGGGGGTGGATAAGTAGGTGGGTGTAACATAATATGTATCTCACTTGTTCTCTCATATACAAATATACTTAAAAACATCAGAAGAATGAAGATGAGTTTTTCTCCTTCAAAGAGGAAGAAACGAAATAGATAAAGGCTACGTTTTTCAAAATGTTTTATTTATCAGTTATTCCTAACTACATCTATCTCATTCCATAACAAAAAAGGCCAACAGAATTATCTTACTGAGTGAGAGTGAAATGTTTTTCTAGCAAGGATGCCTCTTCGTCAAAATCCAGCAAAGACATTAAGTCAACTTATTATAAAATGTAAAAATCTGCATTTCTATTTAAAATTTTAGCATATGCTTATGCTCTTCATTTATGAAGAATTCCATTAAAACAATCTATTAATCCATCATTTTCTTATCCATTCAAAACAGCAATTCTAAGACAATTTTGTGTATATGCCATACATTTGCTTGTTTATTTTAGGAATATTTTATTTCTGAAACATCAAGAATTTATCAGAAGTATCTCAGGAAATTTATATTTTAAGATTGAATCCATCAAATGCAGAGGGTATAAATGTCGATGAGATAAATATTCTATCTTTGCATTGTTTATGAGGCAATTTACATTCCTTTACATAGAATTACCCAGATTTTCCCAGATTTTTCCCAAGATTTTATTTTCTTGATAAAATGTAACCTAGGGGATAGTTCATCTTAAAAGTATGTAGCCCATGTTATAAAAAATATACTATCTGCCCCTCCCATCTTTAAAGAATTACAAAAATATAATAGTACAAAAAAATGGGGAGATTGGAACTTCAAGTTTATTCTTCTTAAATAATATAGAAGATGCATTTTACAAACACAAGGAAAGATTTATAAAATTTCCCTGGTTTTTCTTTATAAATAAACATTTCAAAATATAATATTGGTACAATAAAAATATAGGGTTAAGCTGCATAAGAGGGTTATTTTCCTTAAATAATATAGAAGATACAACTGAGTCTATGATATAACTGTAAGTGTTGCCATAGATAACATTGCAATTAACAAAGTTAGCATGCAATGAAGCAGTTTTTTATGCCAGGTCTTGCATTGCCCAAAGATTCAATATTTAAGACACAAAGAGATGGGCCCAGAAGAATCTTGCTTATAATAATTCTACGGAAATCATTAGGGCAATCCAATCTGTGATAAGTAAATCCCTCAAAGGGGTTGCCTTGTCTCTTAAGCTCCTTGTTCTGGCAGTAGTTCAAGAGCAGAGCCTCTGCAGATAAGAGTAATAGATCTGCAGATTTGAGGAGGAATGCTCCTTAACAAGAATGTAATTTCTAAATGTCACTATAGCAAAAAGATGCCTTCTTCACTGTTATTAGAGCAACTACTGTATCTATGTTATATGAAACAATAAAGAGCAATGTTGCAGAAAGAATACACATGCCAAAGAAAACATACTTTATGTTATACTTTCCTGCTTGTAAGGTGCATCGGTCTGGAAGCTCAGTGAGTCTCTTTGCAAGACCTTTAAAGTACTTTCGGCATTCCTGTACAGCTGTATTTTGCTCATAATCAGTAGAAGCAGATAAAGGGAGTCCATCTCTCACACGGACCACTGAGGCAGACAAGATAATGGACATTGCCAACAATAAAAAGTAAAATCTAGAACAGAGCACACAAATAAGATTATATTTATTTTTTTCCTTCATTTATAACTCCATCTGGATTTATCATTATCTGATGACTGAGAAGACTAAGTTAGTTTCACAATATTTAACATGAGCAAGCTATAAAAATACACACAGATCCGCTCCTTTTCATATAATTATCAAAACCATTTGCATTTGAATTCTCCTTTAGCTTTCAAAAACTGGTTGCCTAGAGCTTATTCTTTCTTACCAGGATGGCTACCTAACTGGCAGTTTACCAGTCCGGGTTAAATTAGAAACAGTATAATATTCTATTTGCTAGAATTATTCCACTAAGCAGTTCTAACTGGAAGCAAACACAAAGAGAAGACCACATAACCACTAACATATATACATGGTACCAGGAGTGTTCAAGTTTAGTGTTCTAGGAAGTAATATTCGTTTCCAAGGTACCTACATTCCACTATTACCATATTTGCTATTTTCTATTCTTTCTCTATCCACCAAGATTCCATAGTCTCCCACATTGGGGAGTTTGCTTCACTTTAGGGATTTCAGTGAGAGAGGGGAACTTCCTACAAATGTATCTAAGTGTCCCTACTCCTGTTTTCACTATATGATGATCAGCACTATGTACCAGATGATTTAGTTTAAGATATTGTTCCAAGTCATTAAATATATTATACTTTATAATGCTGAAAACAGTTTATTAAAACATTCATAATGCAAAAGGTATTGCTGGTAATAATTCATAATAGGAATTTAAACTGCATTCTAGGCAGCATTTTGTAAAATACACAAAATGTAATTAAGAAATATTCAAGTCTCACTTTACAGTATTTATAAAAGGAGATGATTGAGATTGGTTGCTGAAAGGTGATGCTGTTAATTGGATATTTTAATTGCGTTTTAATGACTGTCTTTTTATGATTTTTTTTGACACTACCAGAAACCATCAGGAATCATTTTGGAATGTAGCATTATGGAAATAATTTTAACAAACAAACTACACTATCTCCCTGGGTACAGTCCATATCTGTTATTTCAAACAATTGCAGTTCTCACATGAAGTTACAGCTCCCATCTGATGAATAATTAAGTTTTCTCTTTGCTTTAAATCTCCAATGTTTAGGCCGGGAACATTTTAGCAGCCACATAATTCTTTTCAAGTTGGAAAGAAGACTCCAGATCAGGGTGGATAAAAATCAATGATTTTTTTAAAAAAATCAAAAAAATCAGATTTTTTAAAATTTAAATCGGATTTTTTTGATTTAAATCGGATTTTTTTGATTTAAATCGAATTTATTTTAATAAAAAACTTTTGGGGTAAAAATCTATCGTAAGATAGTTTTCTATTTAAGATACATAAATAATTTAGCTTATTCAGCATGAAATGGAGCTTAGTTATGTAGCATGAGGCTGTATATTCTGCAACACTGGGACTATCGGTGAGTCAACAGTGAGACAAAGGAGTAGCAGAGATGACAGTTGCTCTTTAAAAATTATGATTTAAATCAAGTTGATTTAAATCAAGCCTTTTTACTAGTGATTTAAATCATGATTTAAATTGTGATTTAAATCAACTCGATTTAAATCAAATCCACCCTGCTCCAGATTATTTACTAGTATAATAATGACATGCCTACTACAGACCCTCGCCTTATTGAGCCAGTGTTGCATGTTTCCATGACAAGACAACTTTACTTCTCCAGAGTAAGAGGAGTAATTCTGAAGAAGATCAGATACTGCTACCTGAAAATATTTGGGACATCTTCAAGAAATAGTACCAAGTTAGGATCTTCTTTTTACTGAGAAGAAAGACTAGACAAATAAGGCCTATTACATATCATGTTTAGGTAGTTGTCTATTCAACCATTATAGCCTCCTAGGTATTTCATATTCACCCAATCACTTCAGTCACAGATTTTTCAGCCTGTTGACATTTCATTTAGATATCAAATTAAGCATGCAGAAAAATATAATATACAGGTAGTTCTTGACTTATAACCACCATTTGTTTAGTTACTGTTGGAAGTTACAGTGTCACTAAAAAAAGTGACTTACGACCAGTTTGTAGCATTCCCACTGTCATATCACGTAATCAAAATTTGTGTGCTTGGCAATGATATGTATTTATGATAATCACGTTGTCCTGAAATCATGTTATCATCACTGGTAACCTTCCCAGTCAATTTCCGACAAGAAAAGTCAATGGAGGAAGCCAAATTCACTAAATGACTGCAGTGATTTGCTTAATTGTGGCAAAAGGGTCATAGAAGGGAGCAAAACTCATTTAACAACTGACTTGCTTAGCAATGAAAATTTTAGGCTCAATTGTGATCGCAAGTCTAGGACTATATGTACTATACCCCCAAAAATCATTATGGCATCATTACATGTTTGCTCAGTTTGCACTAAATACTGAGCTATGCCTACTCAAACACATCTGTCTATAGACTACTAAAACTCTCTGTGTGTAATCTATGATCAGGCAAAACAGTGCAGTTTGAATGGCTGCTGAATGAGTGGTCATTAAATGAGGACTACCTATAATCTGCTAGGACTTCCAGCAGTAAATGAACACATATATTAAATATCAAAAATAAATGGTAAGTAATGTAATAAGTAATAACAAAACAATGTGAAAAATCAACAGAACAAAATCAGCCACCTGACCGCCAAGCAAAAATAGGACTTTGTAAGGTCAAACCACCACTTTGAATTGCACTCAGAAATGTACTGGAAGAATATAAGAGTTTTATGCTCCTGATGACACATGGCAGCTAAGAGGTAGACTATTCTGTGCCAAATGTAACTTCTAGTGTTCAATGAGGAGCACGTTGTGGAATTCAACCAGGTAGTGATGAGAATAAGAATAACATGAGTAGCTAGATCTCCCATTCTGATCCACTATTGAAGTAGGATAAAGGCTGTTATGCATGGTCAGCAAACAGCTACCACTGCAAAACCTGATAGGCAAATAAGTGCTGTACTACTAAATGTGAAACCTTGATGTTAAACTAAATATAAATGGTCTTAATTTTATTTTTTTTAAATGCTCTTACATTTTCTTGGAAACGGGTATCAGCCAACCATTAATATACACATTCATACAGATATATTCCAAATGTTTCAAAATGTAATACAGTAACTGACTCAGTTAAAGGGAAGCATATTTAATATTTTATTGTTTACCTTATTTTGCTTATTGAAACTGATGTTAAAACAATACAAGCAGGATTCCTGTAAGTGTCCTCTGAAAGCTTTAAAAGCAGCAATCATATACAATTTCTTATATATTCAATAGCACTTATGAGTAGATGTACATTGGTTTTTCATCTTGCTTTGCACCTGTTCCAATACTAGATTATATACAAAAGAATAAAGAACTCCTGAATAATACCTCATTCAACCTCAATTGAATGCTAAAGTAGCTATGATCTTCCACAATGAGGTACTCTTCAAGTGTACAAGGCGACAAAATTCCCATTAAATATTGTTTCAGGTTGATGGGAATTGCAGTCAACACACCTGAAGACACCATTGTGGGCAAGACTGCCTTACCTATACCCAGGGGTGAAATCCAGCAGGTTCTGGAGAACCGGTAGCGGAAATTTTGAGTAGTTTGGGGAACCAGCAAATACCACCTCTGGCTGGCCCCAGAGTGGGGTGGGAATGGAGATTTTGCAATATCCTTCCCCTGCCACGCCCACCAAGCCACACCACACACATCAAGCCACACCCACAGAACCGGTAGTAAAACAAATTGGATTTCACCACTGCCTATACCACTATCTTTACTAATCTTTGCAATAACTTTCAGTTGCAATGCTTGAATAGTTGCCCTGAATCAGAGAAAGTTGAGAACTTTTCCCCCCCATATGTTGAATTAAAACTCCCAGCTTCACTCTCCATTGGACATCCTGGCTGCTGGAAATTACATTTCACTAACAAGAAAGCTGTCTTTCTTGGCAGAAAAAAATGAGCTACTTATATCTGGGCTATAAAAAGCCATCAAATCATCAGATGTCAGCAGAAAGTTATAGACCCCCCCACCTCTGCCATCATCTAGTGGTTGTCCTGATGATTGCAGCCCAAATTAGGAAGCTCTAGATCAGTGGTTCTCAACCTTCCTGAGGCCGCGACCCTTTAATACAGTTCCTCATGGTGTGGTGACCCCCAACCATAAAATTGTTCCTAAGACCATTGAAAATATGTATTTTCCGATGGTCTTAGGCGACCCCTGTGAAAGGGTCGTTCGACCCCCAAAGGGGTCCCGGCCCACAGGTTGAGAACCACTGCTCTAGATTAAGATGCCCACAAACCTCTCACCCTTTCTCGCTCAATATTCAAATAGGGGAAAAAGAAAAAAAAACCCCAAAAACCAGTTTTTCCACACAGCTATTAACAGGCCCTCTCACGGTTCACCAGCACCGACTTTAAGAAGCAGGCCTATCCGACTGTTTGTAAAATGAAGTTATTTAATTTTTCAGATCCTTCCTATAGTTTCCTCCCCCACCCCCTCTGAAAGATTAGCCAAGCACTCGTTCACCTCTACACGTTTAGGGCGCTTAGAAAGAGACATCTGGGCTTTTTTCCTCGGGTTATGTGACCACGCCAAGCTGACGAGGACACGTTTTTCTCTCGAACCTCGTCGGAAGACTTTTCGAAGCCCAGAAAGCGCCCGAAAGACAACAAACGGCAGCGAGGCTCGTTTGTTGCCATGATTGCGACAGGTCTCCCATTCGCGGAGGCGAGCGCTTATGGGCGTCCTGGGCTTTCCAAAGCGTAGAAGTAAAAGGCACCGACGACGACGACGACGACTGTCATCCGGGACGGCGACATTCACCCAAGCGTGCCAACGCGTCCCCTTGGCCCAGACCCTCAACGGAGGGCCCGCGCTTCGCCTGGCGGTTGCCTCGGTTGCTAAGCAACCGGAAAAAAGGCTGGAGGGGCGAGGGAGGCGCGAGGAGGCGGAATTACCTGGCTTAGCCGACACGGCCGCCGAAACCGCCGCTGGTGTGAAAGCCTCCCGCGCGGAATTCTGGGACTCTTTGACACGTCACACTCCTCGCGCGCTGGCCCGTTGAAGCGGACGTCGCGTGACGTTGCCTAATGGCGCCCGGTGATCCCCGCGGGGCCGCGTTTTCTCTGACGACAAGATCGGTCGCTGGTTCTACGGGCCGATGATCGGCCCGTGAGGGAAACGGATGGGGTTTTTTTAACGGCTGGCGTACGGAGATCCCAATCCCTTATTCTATATACTTTCGAGTCCATCCTGCGCTGAGTTCTGCTCTGAGTCTTTGCCTTATCCCGGTCTGGGCCAGGTTGACGAGCGACTTCCACCCAGGGCTTAAAATCCCGGTGATAGACAGGCAGTCCTTGATTTACAACAGTTCGTTTAGTGACCGAAGTTACATGGGAAAAAGTGGTTTATGAAGGGACGTGCATAAGCGCACCAACGTGCCTACCGTCCCTGTCATAATGTCCCTTTTTATTCGTCTGGATTTCATGCATTCATGTTTATACTTTTATCTGTTATCTTATATATGCATGACAAATAAATAAAATAAATAAAAATAAACATCTTTCACAGCTCGTGACTGTTGCAACATTTTCCCCATGGTCCTGTGATTTACATTCGGCAGCTCGACAACTGGTTGATATTTATGACGGTTGTGGTGTGTCGGGGTCATGCGATCATAGTTTGCGACCTACTAACCAGCAAAGTCAATGGGGAAGCCAGTTTCGCTTAACAACCGTGTTAGTAATTTAACAACTGCAGCTGTGGTGGGTTTCAAAATTTTTTACTACTGGTTCTGTGGGTGTGGCATTGTTTGGTGGCTGTGGCAGGGGAAGATTACTGCAAAATCCCCATTTCCTCCCGATCAGCTGGGACTTGGGAGGCAGAGAATAGATGGGGGCGAGGCCAGTCAGAATTTTTACTACTGGTTCTCTGAACTACTCAAAATTTCCACTACCGGTTCTCCAGAACTGGTCAGAACCTGCTGAAACCCACCTCTGAACTGCAGTGATTCACTTAACAAATGTGGCAAGAAAAGTTGTAAAATGGGGCAAAACTCACTTAACAAAGTTCTCACTTAGCAACATAAATTCTGGAGTCAATTGTGATCGTAAATTGAGGATGACTTGTATATCTAGTGTAGGAAGCTAGCACCCACCCCTCTCCTAGAAGAATGAAATATTTTAGGAAATATTAAAAAGGCAGAATATTATATTTCCCTGGATGAGAAAAGGAGAAACATGTTTTACAGACAAAGCAGCTCCCTGTCCCCCCACCCCCTTCAGTTCCAGGGTGATGGGATTAAGACATGGCCCTCAGGACATGATAGGATTAGCCCTTTACCCATCTAGCAAGAGAACTCACCACATGGCACCTGGGGAGATTGATCACTCAGCAAGATTCAACCAAGTCTGTGACAAGACAGCCTACAAAGTTACCCCAGCATGGCCCCATGGGAGTCTGACAGCCAATCATTATACATTTCTTGCACAGAAACAAGAAGCTCGGGGGGGGGGGGCGACAAGAGACGGTATAAATCTCTCCCACCCCCCTCTCTCTCACCCATGTGCTCATTTTGCTCAGGACCTCAAACCATGTGGTCCTGTCCACTATTAAACCATCTTTCCAAATAGCCTCCATGTTTCCAGTGTCTTTCTCCCCGCTTGGAACTGAACCCAGATGGACATTTCTTCCAACACTAGGATCATGGGGAGCTGACGTTGCAGAAATAGGCTTGTTTGGGATTTATTGGGAATATTTTTACTGGAATAGCAAAGAAAGTAGAAATAATTAGTACCCAACTGAGAGGTTGGATACCAAATGTTGATTGGCTTAATTTAGTACCCAATTAATCAGTGGTACAGCTTGCCTTCAGGTGTTGTGGGTGCTCCAAATGAGAGGTTTTGGGGAAGAGATTGGATAGTCGTTTGTCCCCAATGGTATGGGGACAATTTCCTGCTTGAGCAGGGGATTGGACTAGAAGACCTCCAAGGTCCCTTCCAACTCTGTTATTCTATGTTCTGTATATATACCACAATAACATAAATGAAATTACTCATGCGCTTGCATCAGACTTCATTATATCATGACATAATCATACATGATAATACCTTGATGTACATATTATTGTGATATCATAACTGGATATATAGTTGCACAACACAGTCAGAAAATTCATTTAAGGAGCATGTCTATGCCACCATTTTAACCTCCGAGCTCATTAACCAAATTTTGTAGTCTTGTTATCTAAACCTCAAAGCAACTTATTTATTTATTTATTTATTGGTTCGATTTATATGCCACCCTTCTCCGGAGTCTCAGGGCGGTTTACAATGCGTTAAGCAGTAGCCTTCATACTTTTGTATATAACTGCTTAGTAGGGCTTTCGGGCCCCTCTAAGCGGTGTTTTTTTTATACAAAGTTAGCTTATTGCCCCCACAATCCAGGTCCTCATTTTACCTACCTCGGAAGGATGGAAGGCTGAGCCAACCTTGAGCCTGGTGAGATTTGAACTTGCAGTAATTGCAGGCAGCTGGCAGCTAAGTGCTACTTAACCGCACTTTAGTCCGCAGCGCCACCAAGGCTCCTACTTCTTTGTAGTTTGCAAAAAACTAACCATCTTTCCAAATTTTTTCATAGGTTATAAGTCCCAGTTTCCAGTCAGTACTACAGTAATAGTAGGGCAGCACAGAAGTAATTTCAGATACAAAGATAGATATTAAGAAGACATGTATCATGGAAGTAAAATTAAAGTATATTTTCCCTCTCCAACTGAATGGTTTAGTTTTGGATGTCATATAAATACATCCTTTAACTTGTTTATTGACATTGCGAGTTAACTGTTGTGAATTCACATGAATAAATGGGTGAGCACCATAGTATTTTCAGATTTCTATTTGGTAGAAATAGTCCTAGCTTTGCTCATTAATAAAATGGCCACTATGGAGAATGGAGAGACTACTCAATGGAGAGACCACTCAATCAATCAAATTAGAGCTGGAAGGGACTTTAGAGGTTTTCTAGTCCAACTCCCTGCTCAATGAATACCCATTTACCAGAAAGGAAATTATTGAAGTTGTTTCTTACACACATCTAAACCTTGTGCAGCTTCAGGTATGCAACTTCATCTTTTTTTCTGGACATATATGCATATTTTAAAACAGGTATGCTATTAATCTTGTTTATTTTCTAAGAATGAGTTTCAGATCTATGTAATACTTAAACCATTCTTGGAAAGAAAGCTATAGTAGAAGTTAGTCATTTGCTGCATGCAAGCTTTTTCCCCCCCAAATTAAAGCATCTCTATCTCAGATGGATAATTGTCAGGGATAAGTTTTTGCTTGCTTATTATACTGAGTATAATAAAACTTAGATACAAGTTTTTCTGATTTTTAAATAAAGGAGCTGAACACTTTTTCCTCTTTTCTAAAAAGACATCATCATGTAATTAACAAATTATTCAGAGATGTGAACGTATAACAACAACAAAAATAGAATCACTTGATAATTGCTTTGTGTGAGTTGATTTTATCTTATGTTGGAATACCAGGGTGACATACTTAAGTAATCTAAAATACATTCACAGTATTCTTTTCTTGCCCATTCCTTAATGTAGTGTTGGGGCACTAGTGAATACTCAGTAGAATTAGGCTGATGATAACAAGCTGTTTCAGTTTGAAACAAGAAAATTTATTTATAAAAGACTAAATGTACATATAAATAAGAACTGCTAAATATATAGACAGACCGATGGGGGGCGGGGGGAGAGAAAGAGATTGTTTCACTCCTACATTATATATATCTGACAGTTAAACATAATTAAAATAAACATATTTTCCAGAAAATAAGCATCAAATGAATATACTACTGGGGTCTACTTCTAGATACAAACAAAACATTTAAATTTGCCATTAATCAAATATATATTTGATAAACATGAGCAACCATTTTATAGTTTGAGATTTTGTAACATAAACACAAATGCTTAGCTTTAGAAAAAGACTTTTAATCAAATACTATTGCACAGTGAAAATCTATCTGAGCTTGGAACAAAATTCCAGAATATATCATTTCAGTTTAAAAGTGGAAATGCTAAGAGTTAAAGATGATGGAGTAGGAATAAATGGTTCCCAATGGACTAGAAAGATTTGATATATAAACCTATCTCCGCAGTCCAAGTTAACCAACAAATATCCATTAACATGAAAAGACAGGAAGAAACGGCTGAGAATTTAAACGCCAGAGCAAATATGTACAGTATACACACATTAAATTATTGTTAAAATAAAGCTTCATACACATCAACAGCATTCTAATATGGCCAGGAAACTAAGCCAAAGTCAACCAAAAGCTGAATAGAAGTTAAATGTTGGAAAGTTGTGATTTACTGCCAACTCCAAGTGTAAATCTGACACAAATTACATTGGATAAAAGATAAATGCCTAAGGTACAACACTGTTTTCTAATTATAATCAGAAGAGGAAAATGGTGGATAACTTTTCTGGAGAAAACATAGAATGTGGAAAAACCACATTGTGGGCCAAAAAAAATTCAATAAAATGAAGTGGGAAAATGTGCCAATTATATCAGTGGAACATGGGTTATAGTAGCCTGTGAAATTACAAACAAGTTGTTTGCAATCCAAATGTTTAACCCCCAAGGCCCACTTTGGTTGTCAGTTATACGTTGGAGAATTGGTAAGCAGCCATTTGGCTTCAATGGGTATCACTCTAACCCTAGTTTGATTTTCATTCTCCATGGGATTTTACAATGTATTTCACTGTGATGCACGAAGAACTCTGAATGAAAAGCTGTCACCTGCCCTATCCTTAGTGAACTTCTAAGAATCGTTTCCCAACTCAGGTTTTTAGCCCCAAGTCTAAACAGAGCTAACCCTAACCCTAATTTCATTTTAATTGGCAATTCGGTT